TTTTAATAAAGGGTTAGAGCATGAATCCGGTTTCTTTATTGCCACACCTTGTATACACGGTGCCAAATCCCAGAAGACTGCTTTCTTCATAGTCACCGCCGTGAAAGCCTCAAATCTTACAAATAGAATAGACTCTGTTGGAAGCTCATACTCAGTGATCCAAGCATAATCTACGATATATAAATGTGCAGCTTTTCTGTTTCACTGTTTCATGTCTCATACTGCAGACTTTATAGAGAACACTTTGAAATTTACTCAGCACTCGCTGTTTCCTGTATATGTGATTGTTGAACAGTGTGCAAAATATTGCAGTTAAGAGTGGTTCAGATTTCCATTCTTCCAGCTGTGTTTTTTTAATAACTAAATTTCAGCTTCTTAATTGCAGTATTCCATCTTAATGATTCTAGCTGTTATGTAAAGTCACATATGATAAGAAAAGCAACCATGTCTTAAGTTAAGAATGGGCGCTCCTTCTAATATTAAATTTATGAAGGAAAATGAGAGATTATTATATTAAAATTATTTTCATCCATGGACCTCATATTTTTACCATACATCCACTTAGTGTGAATATATAGTTTAGGATTCACTGGTGCTGGCCATCTTCAAGCATTGACATGTACTTAACTTGGCTGCTCCAGAATACCCCTGCCTTTATGGAACCTCAGAAGTTTATTTATCTCAGTCTTTACAAAAGTCTCCAATTGGATTCTATTCAGCCAGATGAATCCATTATACTCCCCTTCACACTGCATTTAATCTGTGTATAAATCTCTCCCTCAGCATTTTCCAATTGAAATTCTGTATGAATTTCTCATCCCTGCCATGTATGATACATGCTTCACCTAAGTCTGTTTCTCTCCAGTTTAATCATAATTCTGCCAATGAGTACAAAGCTCATAATTATGCAGTTTTCTTAATCCAACTTTTGTTTCCTTTTTCTTAGGTTCATACATTCCTGTCAGCACTTTGCTCTTGTAGTGATGGACATCCAGTTCAGTTCTCTATACATAACCTTTCAGGTTTTTAGATAGAGCATGGGAAAATAAGCTCATCGCTTTTCAGTGGTCCGTATTCTGGGACATATAAGCCCAGCTCACCCCATCACTTCCTATTTCTGCAAGATCCACTTTAATATTCATCTCACATCTATGCCTAGGTCTTCCAAGTGGTATAATTTGAGACCGTTATGGTTTGGAAGTACATCACATAAGTGTTTACCTGTACTGACTCCACTGTAGGCTTTATTTAAACACATTTTAATTAGTCTGGCTTGCTTGCTGGGTATAGTGAATTCTGTGAGAATGTTGTATAATATTTCTCTGATAAGTAGATAAATATACCAATGTTCTTGTGCAGCTACTGGCAGCAGTGGTGAGCTGGATCATCTGGCTACATGACTAAACAAGTTTGTGTCAAACAGTTTTTGGGATTTGTGATTTGTGAAGATGTGCGAGTTTCCATATTAGTAGACCCAGTACTGGTAGATTGTGTCTGACCTGTATGTGTGAGACACCTACAGTCTCTGTCCCAAGAAATGTATTTGTGCAACTCAGTGAAATCAGACAAATTGCATAGTCAGCCTAAATGGGTATGGGAAGGGCATGTGAAGGGGAGGTAGCTGTCAGACAAATGGGTGGGGAGAATCTGTGTTCAATGTTTCCCTGACCCAACTTCAGTTATTCTGTTTGTTGCTGTGTAATGTACACAGTTGCACAGTATTGTAAAATAAATGAAAAACCAGCACTGCTTTTTACAGAATCCTCTTGTTTTTCATGTAGTTCCAATATAAACTTTAGCTTGCTTATGTGAACCTTGGCAGCTTGTTCTTGTGTACTCATTTGTTTTTCATTTGTTGTTTTTTTCAGTTTTGCAACCCTGCATGAGCACCTTTTGGTAGTATGTTGTTATGGCTGCCTATTTAAATCGTACAATATCACTGATGTCTGGGGATGATCCTGGAATCCGCGGACCATCCCTGGCTGTGGGTGATGGTCGATCATTACGTGATTCCTCTCCGCTTCAGATCTTTGTCAAGGCAAAGAAGAAAATCAATGACATATTTGTGGAGATTGAAGATTATGTTCGTGATGCTGTTGCCTATGTGCAGAGTAAGTACAAAATTAAATATTTTTTAAGTGAAACATTCTTCAAAGTGTCTAGGAAAGTTAAGTTAGTATTAACCCTTCAGTGCAGACTTTTAAATTGCACAGTTGTAGGGGGCCCCAAGTTTTTTTTTAATGGCTATTTAATTTTTGCTGTAATATAATTTATTTTTCATGCCTTTTAAATATACAAGACATAATAATGAAAGTTTCACTGAAATGGATTTATAAGTTTACCTTATATTGTGAGCAGACTGAATATGAAAATTAGAAGTTGGGGTTTTTAAGATAGCTTGTAGACGCATCCCTCCTCACATTCACTACACCAATAAATTGATTCCCTCCTTTACCCACGTGGTGTGTGCACCACACATTTTGTTTGAGGTTTGCCTTCTTTCTGGTGGCAGGAATATGCTCTGAGAAATGTTGTTCTGAGATTCTTATAGGCAGTAGTTCAGTTCATGGATGCTCATGTAGAGGACAAGAAACAACAGAACTGTGTCTGCACAAGACCTTATGCTGGTGAAAGCCTGAATTTAAGGGAATCTATATTTGGGAGTGACCAATAATACAAGACACTATGTTACGTATTGCTACGTTGAGTAGTCACTCGAGTAATTTCAGGTGGCACTTGATACCTTTCTCTTGTTCCAGCAAGTACAGCTGTGGCATTTGATCCTTCAGATCCACTGCTAACATGCTGACATTGTAATTTCAAACAATCACAGGCTTTCTATTGGTTTGCTCTATTTATGGACCCATGCATTTCAGCTGTGTTGTGTGCAGGTATCACAGCCAGTTAGCTCCCTGTCTTTCCATGCAAGGACTGTCTGTCACATCTCCTGAATCTTGACCACAGAGCTCCTCTGTTTCAGTTTCTTATTCTTGACTACAGAAGGAACATTTTTCCCCTTAGCACACAAAGTTCCAACACAGTCTGTTTTATTTTGTACTTCATGAACTGAGCCAACTCTGCAGTCAATTACAAAGATGTCCATCCACACAGTGTGTCGATGACCAAGATGTTGTGACAGTTTTACTGTAATTGCTGGCATTTTCATTTGTTTCTGCAGTCACAAACTGATTAATTAGTTTGTGCCTTGTCATCCAGTGTAAATGGGAAATGACCAAACATAGCCAGAGCTGAACTCAGACTTCATTTGTTTTTGCATCCTTAAGGCATATTTATTGCCTGAAGGACAAATTACCTTTCTGTTGAGCAAAGGACTCATCACAGGATTCTGCTTTGGGAGATGTACATTCTTTAACTTGTCATTTATGTGCTGAACAACTGGATGAATTTAAAAAGCTTGAGCGGTCCTAGAGATTCATTTCGCTTATTGTTATCAGAAACATGCATGCATTTGGTTATTACCTCTCTCACCTTTCCAGAGGTAAAATCTCTCAGAAAAAATTGACTGAGTAGTGGCCTACTCTTTGAATAGTAAGATGTAAGCGTAGGGTTTTGTACATTGCCCATCAACATGATGGAAGCCAAAGCAACATACATTTTGTCCACTGTAACATCTTTCCATTTTCTAATCCTAGAGTGAAATATGAATGAGGGGTTGATGCTTTTCAAAATTTCATGCTGTTGTTTTCATCTGGAATCACTTATATTAGACCTATATTAGAAATATTTTCTTCAAATGCACCAATGTCAAACTGGGGACCATACACATCACAAATAATTTCTCGTGAAGTGGAAAATCAGTCTATATTTTGCCACACAAATTTGACAACCATAATAGTGCTAATTTTATGTTTTCTTATTGTTTCATCACTACCACTATCAGTGTTACTGTCACCGTCTGAACTAAATTCACAAGTATTTTCAGTATTGAAAAACTTCTTTCAAAACTTACACTTATTGAAGCTTCATGAGTGCATGACTTGTTGATCGGCTGGCAACTTACATATTTATATCTAAACGACCTGCTCACCTGCAGGAAATCCAAGGTTATTGATTGATACATGACCACAGAGTTCATTCATTTCACAACATTCCAATGCAAACTTCATTCGTCACACTTGGGTTGTTTGTTATTTATTCACATATCAAAGAAGTTAAGCTCACAGCCAGAAGTATGCTATTCATTAAACCACATACGGAGCAATTAAATACCAAATGTGACATCTACAACACTGAACTGTGATGGTGACTTAATACTCTTATATTTGAGTTACTGTTTTGATATAATGTTTGCGATATGTAGTTTAAGTTTTGGATATGTTACAAGAAATTTAAATTCCTTCAGTCCATTTTGCCCATACACATGTATATATGCATGAACAGCTTGTGAACCTATGTAGGATTTGAGGTTCTCTTACAGCTGTGGTTATGAAGGACTCTTCAACTTTGGAACCATTGGACATGTTCTAACAGAATTTGATATGGAGAATCTAAGAAAAATTTTCTTTTTATGACAGTGGAGAAATTAACTTTTGACTTGGTGTCCCATATTTGGTACACCAAGCAGACGTAAAACAGAGTGCATTCGTGAATAGAAGCAGAGTAGCAGTAGTTAAAGTAAGAAGAAGAAGGAAAAGAAGGAGGAGGAGGAGGAGGAGGAGGAGGAGAAGAAGAAGAAGAAGGATGAGGAGGAGGTGGAGGTGGAGGAGGAGTAGGAGTTGGTGGTGAATCAGTGTACTTTCGAGAACTAAGCAGAGCTATGCAAAACTGAGCAGAGCCACGCAGAGAGAGATTCGTTATCCAGAAGGAGTTGAGTGTGTGAACTGTTATAATCGAATGTAATTGTGATAGTGGCATCATATAAATCCAAGCATCAAATCCAGAGTCCACAATTATTAGTCACATTACACCGGACACACGTGACAATAAGTTATGATTATTAACATTTGTTTTATTATTATGTAACTAATTTGGTTTGTTACTCAATGCAGGCCACCCGTCCCCTTATTTAGACTGGATTAATTAGCTTTTACTGTAGATGATATGATCCTAGTCCATATGCTTTTGCGGCTGGAGCTTAATGTGTGGCTTCAGCATTCAGGAATAGGCCTGGCCCAAAAGCTGAAGCCACATATGCTTTGATATTACAGGCCTACAGCAGGAGAGAAGCATTGTGAAGTCTGATGATGCGGTGCAAGTTGAAGGCTATATTGTGAAGGTGAAAGGCATCCGTGATGTTCTCATGCGGGATCACATGAAGGTGGCTTTCTTTGGAAGGTAGTAATGATGTGCATCGAAAATGTTTTATTTCTTAATTTCCTTTAAAACACTCATCTGTTCTTATATTTCAGTGATTGATTTTCTGTTTGCTTCCACATCCATTCAACTTCACCTTATATTCACTGAATTCTTGGTGATAGAGAATTTTTAGAGCTTAAGGAGAAGGGTAGTTTATCATGTGTTAATCCCCTGTAACAGGCCATGTAGGCCCATAGGGTTGTGAGACGTTGAGGGTCCCACATTATCTAGACAATCGGCTCAAAGATGGCAATAAGGTTGTCAGCCTTATGTGCCACCCATGCTTTACTCCCCAGGAAAATTATTTATTTAATTCCTGGTACTCATTTCTGCTATAGCGTAGAATGTCGTGGGTTCTAGTACCAATGAGGCCATTGGATTTTTTCAACTGACCTAATCCTTCCTGCCGCACTATGGCCCTGGGGTTCACTCAACCTCTAACAGAAATGAGTACCAGGAATTAAATAATTTTCATGGGGATTAAAGCACGGCCAGCATGTAAGGCTGACAACCTTACCGCCATCTTTGAGCCGATTGCCTAGATAATGTGTGACCCTCAACGTCTCACAACCCTATGGGCCTTCATGGCCTGTTACAGGGATAGCTTTACTTACTTTTTTAATTTTTATTTTATTTTTTTTAAAATTTTTTTTGCTTTTAATCCTCTGGGGCATTAAATGAATCTGAATAATGTTTAAAGATCAGTTCATATCTCATAGAAAGAGCACTTTGTATCTCAAATACAAAGACCAACTAATTAATTCTGTATACTGTGTCATTGTGTGGCAGTATTCAGAGCTTTCTAATGTTGAAGCAAGGGGAACATGCAGTTTCTGCTCGTTTGAAGGTGTGAGTATTGAAGAACCAGAAACATCAGATATTTATGTATTCAGTTTCTGAAAAATAGGTCTCTTTGTTTGTTACTGGTTAGTAACATGTTACAGTTACTCTGTCGTCATATTTGAACATAGCTTTGTTTACAGGACAAGCAATGGTAAAAGCACTGTGATTAATGCAATGTTACGTGAGAAGATTCTTCCAAGTGGGATCGGTCATACAACTAACTGTTTCCTGCAAGTCGAAGGTTCGGATAGTGGAGAGTCTTACCTTGTTACAGAGGATTCCACAGAAAAACAAAATGTCAAGGTAATAGTTTGCATACTAATTTTGTTAAAAATGATCTAATGACTATGCCTTATCATTGTCATCATCCAGATCTTTGCTCAGATACTAGCTAATCTGACTCAGATTTTTGTGTTTTTGTCAGGCCCTGCAGGCAGATTTATTATTGAGTAATCATCCTATGATTTGACTGTATAAATCTGAGTTGTTTGTTCAGCACTGAGCTGTGATTGCAGGTTCATTATGTGTTGTGCATTTGCAACTTATCTGATAGCGTTTTTCTGTGTTTGAATCCTTTTGCCAGTAGAAGAGAGTGCTTGTACACATGTTGACTGATCCCTGTAGTGTTAAGGTTTGGCCACACAGAGTGCTACATACGCGACGCACGCTACATATGCTATGTTCACTATATGAACAGAAAAATATCTCCGTTTATTGCCACTGTGACTGGCCACACAGACTTCCGTACGTTATGTTAGCTATGTTAGCTGTGTCGCAGAGTGTACACAGCGTACGTAGCGAACATAGCGTAGCTCGGCTGAACCTTTACAGTAAGTCCCTGGCTCGTCTTTCTGTGCATAGTTGCAGACAGGAAGATTGCAAAATAGACAGAGACCATGAGCATGGTACAGATGGATATTTGAAAGTTGCTAACAGCAAAGAGTTTTGTGACACATCAGCATTGAATGTGTTGTTAATTAGACCAAGAATATGCTTATGTTTTGTGAACATAATTTCTGTTTATTATAAAGGAAGAGTTCATTTTAATGTTAATTGTTCAATTTGTCTAAAATAAGGCACCTCAGAGTTACAGAATGCCCTTTCTCTTTCACAGTTTAGCTATATAATAAATGATTGAAGAACATAGGTATTATATTATATCATTTATAAATGTCTCAGTTAAGATTACATTGTGTATTTTCACAGTTTTGTTAAATTGGCTTAGAATGTCTTTGAATGAAATCAGGATTTTGTATGGAGGTAATTACATAAGGAGGAGCTTCACAGTTGAACCCATCATGCAGTAATCTTATGATTAAATTAAGATTGATGATACATGCAGTACGTGTATACTGAGAACTAGAAATTAATGTGAAACTGTTAGAAATCTTGATAGAAAGTCTAGACATAGATGAAATAACATTAAAGGGGAACTTACAATGTTGGTTGAAACAGTGTGAAATTGATAGTTGAGGATGTGGTGGTATTCAGATGATCCCGGTGATGAACATTTGGATTCATTAATAGAGAATTTCATGATCAACTGATCATTCAGAGAAGGTCCTGTCTCAGAACGTTAACATGTTTCAGTCTGTGGGACAGCTTGCTCATGCCCTGTGTAAGGAGAAGCTGGGTGAGAGTCAGTTGGTGCATATTTATTGGCCCAAAGACAAGTGTCTGCTGCTGAGAGATGATGTTGTGTTTGTTGACTCTCCGGGAATTGATGTGTCACCTAACTTGGATGAATGGATTGACAGACATTGCCTAGATGCAGATGTCTTTGTGCTTGTTTCCAATGCTGAGTCCACTCTGATGCTTACAGTAAGTGACAGATTGTACGGATACTGAGATGAAAGTGCCCATGCCTTGGTTTTAACAATTCATCTGCGTTTTAATTTTGTCTGAGAGGTCTAATAGTGAATTAGCTGGATTGGTGACTGTACTGAAAGTGCCAGGGATTGGCCCCCTCTGTATCCCCCTTGAGCTATCACGCTTGTGTCCCCAGCACACTTCCCTGTATTGCCCTCCAGTTATGTAGCTATTCTGCTCACTCGGGTGTTTGGTAGTGGTAACCTTTGCTGGGTAAGTGCTGCAGGCTGGCTGCAAATATTGGTGAAATTTGTTTTGCGATCTTAGTTGGTGACCATGTGGCACAATGTAATGGGATGAGGTCTTTCATAGGCGCAGGAACTACAGATCAATCCTGTTGAAGTGTCCAGTAAAGAGGGTTATTTTCATTATGAGTATGGTATTGTAAATGTGATATTTATGGATTTATATACAGTATACATGCCAGTATCATAACATATGCTGTACAGTTAAGTATAATGACCGATGTGCCATGATTGCTTATGTATGTGAAGTAAAAACTTGTGTACAATCCAGTCATGACATCTAGAACAATCTGTGATGTAGTGTGCATATGTAAATATCTGTGCAATTTCAACAGCCTCGTGTGTTACTCAAGTTCAATACGAATTGATGCATTTGTTCTCCCTTGTGTGCGCATGTAGTGAATGGTGGGCAATGTGTGGGTAGTACTTGTAAGCAGAATGTGAGGGTTTGTGTTTCCAGGCATGCAGAAAATAGTGGGCAGGACTTAAACTCATAAAGGACGGTTTTGTAATTAGCAGTTGGTGGCCAATAGAAGAGGTTATGGAAAATTATGAGAGTGCTGAGCTCTGAATCATTCATATCCCCATGATGATTGCTTCAAAGAAGAAGCAATACTGTTATATCATTATTTAAGCCTTGGTGCCATGCTGTATTGTATGTGACAAGAAATTGAGCATTTTTAGGAATTTCCTAAACTCCCATAGTATCTAGTTTCCACTGTATATGCAGGCATATGTATACATGTATTTTCAAATGTATTTATATTATAATTTCAATATATTGTAACGTGTTGTGTTACTGAAGACACAGTTTGGATTGTTAACTGGTTTATTTGACAACCTACAAGTAACGGCTACAATTATTTATAACACAGTTGCGGGGTTTCACACTTTATAACCCTAATCACATTAATCTGTTAGCACAGTTGCGGGGTTTCACACTCTATAACCCTATGCACAAATCAGTTCACTCTGTCTTCAGTAGTCTACACGTTTACAGTAGGGGAGCTATGTATCACTGTATCACACGCTCCCAATTACACAATTACACACACGTCCGGATCTTCTTTCCGTGACGGCTGCTATACTCAACTGTAGTCGGCTGACTGGAGAACTGTTGATAACACACTTGCTCGTAGGCTTGCTCGGAACTAGCTCGGAACTGAGCTCGGCGATAGCCACATTACAACTAACTCGTAGCTGCTGTGCAGTTCCCTTATATAGCTGCAGTGCTTGCCTGTTGCGTGCCACGTCACAGTAGGAATCGGTGCCACGTCATCCTGTTGCGTCACCACGCGTTGCGTGTTACGTTACCGTGCGGAGCGGGGGGAGGAGAGTGCTGACTCACCCGCCGCATCACTGCTGGTGGTGGGGGTTCTCCGTTGCGCAACATGTCACACTGCTCCCTCCTTAAGGCTGTTCATCCCGAATAGCCTAACGGTGCATCCCCGTTCCTTTGCTTCAGAGGCTGTTCTTGCAGCATCTGTTCTCCGGTCGTTACAACCGCTTCCTTCTTAAGACCAACTAGTCTCGAGTGGTTTCCTCTCAACTTGCCAGAAGATCCAGTTGTGTCCCATTCATCCATCACTTTCATTCTATGGCACATTCACTCTCTCTGGGGAGGCCGGTTATTCTATTTTACCGGCTCCTCTTCCGTTTGAAGTCTTCTTTTCCATTTTGGCGGCGGTTGACACTTCCACAGTGTCCAGTCTTTGTTTATGTCTTCCATGAGAAGTTCCTTATGTCGACGTAACAGCCCTTGATGCGTTGTTTGCACTTGCTGACGTCGTCATTCCTTCTGGACTTCCAGCCACTTGCTGACACGGGACCGTGGTGCCAAGTCCTTTCTCCGGCATCCGAAGGTTCCCTGGGGAGTTTCCTTCTTGAAGGCATTTCTCCAACGTCGTGCCACTGTCGCGTGACAGGATGTCTTCCTGCAGGGGGCAGCCAACTTGTTCTGGGGTCCACTCTTTTCCTGCGTCAAATTCTTTATATTCCACTTCTTTCGGTCCCTACGCATTTTCTTCTTCGGTTCTCTGACCGGTCAGAGACCGGTCAGTGTACTTTGGCGTCTTCTACGGGTACCTCTCGTAACCGTGCCACCTCAGGTTTCCTGTTCGTTGAGGCCGGCTTTTCTCCTTCTGGACGTGCCTGTTTCTCGGCAGGCCATCGTCACTCTGACCGGTATCCGTATGGGGACCTCCTCTTGTTGTGCTGCTGCAGGTTTCGTGTTCACTGAGGCTGGCTTTCCTTCTTGTAGACGTGCCTCTATCTCTTGGCAGGCCATCATCTCATTGCGGTTGGCATTCACCCTTTTGACGTTGAGTGTGTAGTGTGGGGGCGTTAATGCATATGCCGGCGTTCGCTCTTCTCCGGCGGCCGTCGCTCGTTTCCCGACGGTTGGGTACCCTTCCTGTTCGTAGGGGCAGTTATTCACGAAGGCCCAGTTTTCTACAACTCCAGCACCCTGATTGTCTTCCATCTTCTCGTTGGGTGGGGGACGATCGGTATTTCCAGTGTGTCTTGGTGCTACCTTCGTGAGGCCTGGCTGCTACCAGCACCGCCTGCAGCTCTAATGCTTGTCGGAGGGCCTCGTTTACCTTCTCCCCTCCCAGCAGCAGCCGAATCTTTATATCGGCATCTCGTATTCTGTATACGAAGGCTGTTCCTGCCTCTCTTCCTATGTGGTCTGCAGGTAGATTGGGGTAGGCATGATGGGAAAGCAGTTCAATGGCCGTGGCAAAGTCTTGCAGGGATTCTCCAGGTTTCTGGGTCCTTGTTCTTAACCCTTTGACGCGGTAATTTAAATTCCGCGGCTGCGTCTCCTGCGGTAATATATTCAGCNAAGTTTCTTCGTAAGTGGCAATTGCCGGAATGCCGGGTAGCATTTCTGGTGCCCAGCCTTTCAGAGCGGTGATCAGGTATGTTAATTTTTCCCTGTCCGACCATTGGTTGTGTTCCGCTATGGTCTCGAATTGTCGCTGGAACACGCTCCACGTTGAATTCCCGTTGAATATTGGGGGCTGAGCTGTGCTCGCGACGATTTTTGATGTATTTCCCTGCTCGGCCTTCATTTGTACTATGTCCAACCATGCCTGGAACTCGCGTTTGGCCTCCTCAATTGCTGCGCTGGTTTCGTTGTAGTTTTTCGTCAGGTTTTCCTGGAGTTTATCTGTCCTCACGCAGAGGCACACTTCCACTGACTGCAGTTCCCTTTGTGTTTTTCCAGTTCTTTCTGTAAGCTCCTGAAGCTTTTTGTCTGTCCTGGCTTGGTTGACATCCATCATCTCCTTCAGTTCTCTTCGGTCGGTCTGTCTGACATCTTCGAATCTGGCCAGTAATTCGTTGAGGCCGATCTCCGCCTTTTCTTGATAGGAGTCTAAT